CTTAATATATAATAGGTTTCTTATTATCCTTTTAATAGTATTACCTTAAGGTATTATAGTAGTTTTATTCTTAGAGTTTAAGTACTATATACTACTTTCTTATAAAAACTCTAAAATCTTCTTATATAAAGTTAACTTACTTCTTTAATATATCTATAAGTATTTACTAATAAGTTTACTATTCTATTTATAAAGTGTATTTTATTATACTTAAGGCCTATTAGATATACTAGCTATTAGAGTAGCTAGAGTAGTATTTATAAGCCTCTTCTACTATAATAAGCTAATCTTCTCTTTTTATATTAGTAGATTTACTAGTAAAGTAAGCTATATTATAGTTTAAAGGTTTCTTATAAACTTTTAGTAACTATTTAGTAAGTACTTAGTTATTTAATATAGTAGTAATTAGTTTATATTAGTTAACTATTATAGTTATAATCTACTATATTAATACTTAGCTAGTAACTTCTTTTAACTTTCTAGCTTAAGCTAGCTTATTAGTAGTAGCTATAGATATCTAGCCTTATAGCCTATTTAATCTATAAGAAGGGGTCTTATATTCCCTATTCTCCTATATATACTTATTATCCTTTTAATAAGTATTTAGTATAAGTAGCTTATCCTCTTTAGGACTTCTAGCTTTATTTAAAATATAGCTTCTTACCTCCCCTTATTAACTTATATTATCCTCTAATTATTTACTAAGGTTATCTTCCCTATATAAGCTTATATAAGCTATCTTATTTAGTACTTAGTAAATACTAAGTATAAGTTCTTTAACTTAATTAGTAGGTATTACTTAGGTATATAGTACTATTATTATTACTAACCTTTTTAAAATAAAATAGAAATAAAAGAATTATAAAAGTATTTAGAGGTTATAAGCTATAATTAAATTAAATTAATAGAAGAAGTATCTAAAAAGTAGGTATAGTATTACTATACTACTTTTACTTATTTCTTCTAAGATCTTTTTTTCTAACTCTTTAGTAAGTACTTACTAAGTCCTCGTTATAGAGGGTTTTATACCTTATCTCTATAGGGTTCTCTATCCTTTTAGCTTAGTTTAGCTGAACTATCCCTAAGCCTTTCTAGTCTAAGTGGCTAGACCCTTATAATATTTTACTTTAATAATTAAAGTAGGGTTAAATAAATTAGAGAGCTATTTTCCTAGCTTTATAGTTATTAAAAAGGACTATAATATATATAAACCTTACCTATTTAGGTTTATTTTAGATCTTAGATTAAATATTAATAGTTTAGTTAATATACTTAATATAGAAAAGCTAATTAAGTAAGCTTATATTAAACGAATTAAAAAGGATTTAACTAAAGAATATAAATTATAAGTATTTTAATTTAATTAAATATATATCTATATATTTACTAGTTATAAACTAATACTAATATTTAAATATTTAGGTTAAAATCTAATATTATAGTAGAGTTAAATACTTTAAGTAAATCTCAGTTATATTTAGAAGCTTCTAATAGCTTTATTAATATAAATAATAATAGTAATAAAGAAGAAAACTATATTAGTTCTATTAATAAAGGAAAATCTAGAGTAGATATTTTAAGAATAAATTTTACTATAGATTTAAATAAAGAAAAACCTAAGTTTAAAGAGTATAAAAATCCTTAACTTAAGCCTAAAGAGGAAATAATTAATTAGCTTTTCCTAATTAAAAGTAATAAATAAAATAAAAAGTTTTAAAGAGTAGAATTAGAAAGCTATTTTAAATTAGGTATTTAGGGAGATAAAGTAAGTATTTAAGTTTTTATTTATTAATTAATAACTATATAAAGTTCTTAAATTAAATATATTTAATATATTTACTAATTAGATTAATAGGTTAATTTATTTATATAGTAGAAAGAGAATAAAGAAAGATTCTTTATACTTAGTATATTAACTAGAAAATATTTAGCTATTAATCCTCCTTCTACTACTATAGAAAGAACTTTTAATTAGGGTAGTAATATTATTACTAAAAGAAGAACTAAATTAACTTATTTTAAAAAAAAGTAATTAATACTACTAAAAAGTTAGAATAAAGATTTAAATAAAGAAAAATCTTATAACTTTAGTCCTAAAGTTTATAGTAATTTATTTAATAGTTCTTTACTTTCTTTATCTAAATTAGAATTAGATTTTATAGTAGAAGTAGATATTAATAATAGTAATTCTGAGATAGATATAGATTATAGTAGTGGGGATAAAGAGGATATTAAATAAGAGGATATTAAATTTAATAAGTAAATTTTATAGATAATTATATATATTTTTTTATATTTTTTATAATTTATATAGAATTNTTTTTATATTTTTTATAATTTATATAGAATTAAATATCTATTATATAAAAAATTAATAAAGTTAGATTTATCTAAGTTAAAAGGTCTTTTTAAGTACCCCTAAAAGTAGTAGTTATATTATTACTTATAGTTAATAGATTAAGTTATTAGAGGTAGTACTTACTTTAAAAAGCTTTTAATTAAATATAAATATATAAATATATAAATGTAATATAAAATCTATAAATATAATATATATATTGTGTTTGTATTGTAATAAAATCTCTTTAAAT